GGCCTAAAGAATGAGATAAAATTACCTGATCTTTTTCAAGAGGAGAAAACCTTGAATTTTGAAGAACTTAAAGGTCATTAAAAACTCCTCAGAAGTCAGGAAAGCTCATTTCCGGCCATCTAGGAATCCAAATTTTCCGGGGGAAGTTTCCAGGACCCCTTTTAATGTTGGGGTTTTTTTTTTTAGACATTTTAAACCACCCTCTTTCATATCCTGGATCCGCCCCTGGCTAGAGTGCATTTCCCTTGTATTTCGAAATTGTTTATAAGTACACAATGCTTACCAACACATCGTTAATCAGGGATGCAAGATGACGCTGTGTATAAACAATTGATAAGCTTAACATTTACTCGTGAATTGCTAGGTACAAAAACGTAGGCTAACATTTCCAAATCGTTATTTTTGTACTTTTTGAAAAGCGTACACACACTTTCAACCCCCTCCCCCCAGCGTACGTTTTGTACGCGCGTGAAAATGATGAAAATAATGGATGACCCCTTAAGGATTTTAAAATATTCCAAACCTGTACGCTTAAAAAAAATAAAATAAAATAATAAATAAATAAATAAAGTTAACTTAAAACACAAACAACACGATAGGATATAAAGTTTGAGAGAATAATTGGTATACTGTACTGTATTTCTGAAGTGCCATTCGTTTTAGGGTTGCTACAATCAGGAGTTACAATCGATCAAACAAAGGAAAAGCACTATCTATTTCCTTACATTCCAAAAAGGAGGATTTTGGATGCTATTTAAAATTTGCTGGAGATTGAAAAATTAACTGTGTGATCAATCTGCAAAAAACAGATTGATCACAAAAGCAGAAGCATGATCTCAAACATCAGAACCCAGCTTTTATTGTTTAAAACTGTCGGGCCCCATTGAATGAAACTACGGTATTATAGTTTATATTATATTTTGTTTAAACAATGTCAGGGGTGGGGGAGGCCCTCGCACTTGGGGCCCTGGCGTTCCCCTCTCCCCTTCGTCAGCGCCCGAGACGCCACTGATGTAACAACTGCTGATTGTAGCAACCCCAAAAACGAACGGCGCTTCAGAAAATACAGTACAAGTATACCAATTATTCTCGCAAACTTCATATCCTATCGCGTTGTTTTTTATTGAAGTGTACAGTTTTTTTGAATATTTTAAAATCCTTCCCTAACGAAAATGTCCTATAGGATCCTTTAGGATCTTATAGGATCCAATAGGCGGCCTATAGGCTCCTATAGGATCCTATAGGCGGCCTATAGGAACCTATAGGCGTTTTTCTCCAAGGTTTAAATATTTTAGAACAATAAAATTAATAACCAGAGAGCCAAAATAAAATGTCATTTATTCTTTATTAACATAATAAACGCTGTACAGGTTTGTATTTTGCAATTGTAAACATGGTTGTATATTTGCTCTTTGTTGCATTTATTTACAAATAATTTGTTACAATTTTGTCAATTAAAATAATTTTTAAAAATCTGTATACAGTTAAACTTGCCCCAGTCTATCTTATTATGCCAAATTACTTTAAATGTTGTTTATCTAAGTCGAACAATGGAATTATGCATTCGACTTCAAACAAGTTGAACTGTATTAAAATTAATATATACAAATTATTGTTTTGCAATTAAATTTTATATACAGTAGTTATACATATTAAAATGTTTAAAATTATGGACCTATCCAGGTTATACATAAATAAACCTTATAGTACTGTAGTTTACTTTATGTTCATTGCCTTACAGTATAATACTGTATATACTGTATTTTTATATACAATTAGTTATTTTGTTTGTTGTATGCATAATCATCAGTGACGTGCTACTGTATATTAAGTCACATTCATAATTATTTGCCAATGCAAACATATATACTTTCCCTTCAACTATCATCTTTACTCCTTTTCTTTTAATTTCACCAACTTTGAATGCTCTAAGACGATTGTTTATCCATTGATTGATATAATTATGTTGACTATCATGGTTTTAGGCCTCATGAATTAATTAATTATTCATTCATA